GAGGGCGAACTAGTGTGTTTGTTGTTGCACTAACTGTGGGTGTAGTGTTATCCGGCGGGTGGGTCCGGCGGTCCCCGGCAGTGGGTTCATCGTTTCTAAGTCCTCTTCGTCGCTCGGGTCGATGAGGACGTTTCGCGGGCGACGTTTGTTAACGTTCGCGATTGTATCGGGTTGGTAATTTGCTGCGCTTACCACCAGAGGGTTGGGATGATGTTCGGCTCTTTGTCCGTTTTGTCAGGTCCGTTTGGTCAGGTCTTTAAAATATTCGCGTATCGTCGGGAGTCTGCAATCGCTGTGCAGGTCGACGTTGCGTTGATAACACTGCGCACCGGTTGCGCGGGTTATGAACTTATTTTGTACTATTTGCAACTTGTACAAGCGAGTAGGGTGCGTGTGGGCGAAGGTCATGCATGCCTAGGACATAATAGATCGTACGCAGGTCTTATGTAATAATAATTTGTGCCTTAAGGGCATTTTACTTTTAGCGTTAGTTAAATTGTGTGGCCGGCCGGAGAAGAACGCGGCTCTATTGCGAACGTTATTAATGTGCGTATTAAATGACATACGCGAGTTGAAAGTGACTCCTAAGTATTTGACCTTTTTCTCCCTGGAGAGCGGTTGGCCATAAAGGGATATTTGCCCCAACTAGCATGAGCTTCTAAATCAATCATCATTTATATCACTGACCTCTAGGTCAGTTCAATAGCTATTCGTAGACAAATAATTTCTGTGACAGAACATGAGCATGGATATAAGCATTATTAAATCCTTAATGATGAAGAATAATCGAACAAGATGGTTGAATTTCCAGCTTTGGATGTAGAAATCCACGTCTGAGTGAGAGTGAGGTAATAATTAATTTTTGGATGCGATGATACGACCAAAAATACCACTTATATCAAATTGTTTCTGCAGACCTATTATAATAATTAACATAATAATAAAAATATTTAAAACAGTTCAATTCTTCGATTCACCATGTTATTTATTAAAAATGTGAAGAACTTCGTTCAGATCAACTGATTTTGTCCTTTTTTTTCCAAAGGCCAGTAATACAATACCAGCCATTCTCTCGTGACCCATTGACAGCCTTTGAGGCCTATTGATTGCAGTTAAAGTTGAAAACGTAGATTCGCACACTGCAGTGCTACATCCTATGGTCGCCACAGATGCAAAAAGTTCATAATTATGTATCTTTAAACGCCTCTCGTTGCCTGTACAACACTTGCAATGTATTTTTCATTTTGTCCTCGTTACGACTCAAGTAAACTTTAACCACACTAGCCTACTTGAATTATTAAATTTTTTAAACTTACCCAAACTTTTCAGTGGAACCATTTTATCTACATCCAACTCATCGAGACTTGCAATCGAATTGATTAGATCATCATCATTCAAATGCCTATTTTATTATTAATTTATCCTTTAAACGAGCAATTCTTGTATATTTATAATCGAAATCTCGGAAACGGCTCCAGCGATTTTCATGAAATTAAGTATGTGCGTAGATTCGGGTGCGAAGCATCGATCTAGCTGTTTCATTTTTAGAAAATGTCCTTTTATCCCTGTTTTCAGGGAATGAAAAATATCATTCGAATATGACGGTAAATTTCGCCGCAAAAAAAATTTATATAATAACGGTAATCGGGCGGCCCCAAAACAGACGGCCGCGGTTCGTATCACGATCACACACTTATTTTTTTACTGTTTTTTCTATACCTGATCATTGCTTTCTTTATTTTTTTATTTCCAAAATACATAATTTATCAAAAAAAAACGAGCAAAGCTCGGTCTTCCAGGTACTTTTTTTATACGAGTACACAGAACAAAGAATTATTAGAATATGAAATGAATGTCACACACTGGTAATGAGTTGATCGCACCCAAGCTATTTCTAAAAGAAAGAAAAAAAAACAGTTGTATGTATGTAATCTAATATTTTAATTTTTTAAGAAAAAAATTACGAATAACAGGATACCTGCGGAGTTTCTTTTGCCTGTTTCTTCTCCGTTAGAGGAACCTCATGATGAAATTGTGGTAGATTAAAAAAAATACTATCGATGGATGAAATGTATGTTTCCTAAGTCCATAAATAAATTATTTTGATTTTGACAAACTGTGGTATGTTCGGAAAAGTTGAAATACCTATCGCTACAATTTTTATTACAATAATGTATCTTAGTTTTTGAATGAATACTTTTTTGTCCACCACACAAAAGAGGTTGCACAAAATTAAAAATAGACAAACAAATTAAAGGAATTCACAATTTGGCGGCCGTATCACTTCATAGCGATCTCTTCCAGGCAACCAATGGCGTAAAGGAACTTTACTACGTAGGTTGTGCAATAGTATAGTATATAATGCAGTAGTAGAGTTTAAACAGCCTGTACGGTAAAAGATTTTTCAAAAAATTACGTTTTGTGGTTTGGCACCTTTAAAATGAGCTTCCTCGAAGAAGGTAGGATCTTCCCATAGAAGCCCTACAAATTCAAATTTCTCCTTTAAATAAAGTGGAGTAGAAACATGAAATAGAACACAGTAGATACAACATAGAAAGAATATACAAATTCCGGCGAAGTAGGATGGGAAACCACTTGAGACGTGTACGAAATTGAAAAACGTGGTCATATTTACACATTTTTATTTTGGTATTTTTAAGGTAGGGCATTGTGATTTTAAGGTAGGGCATTGCCCTACAATGCCCCCCCCCTAGCTACGGCCGTGGTGCTACACTTTTAGTACTAGAGCATTGTGAAAAATCCAATAGAACAAATGTAGATAGATGACCAGATTTTCGCGCCGTGTGGTCATCGGCTGCCCAATTTTTTTCCCAAGGAGGGTTGACATCAGGCAGGCGCCCGGTCGTAAAAAATATTGCCGAAACCGATTACAACATGTTTCACACACTGTGCCGATCCCACCTAGGTGGGATAAGGGCAGGAGGACGATGATGATCTTGCTCACTCACCATTTTTTGCTTATATCTACTTTGGTTGGTTGCATCGTCAATTTCCATTTTGATATTAGCTTCAATTCTTTGCCTTGTACGATAGTAGTAGGTACTAAGAAGAATTTCAAGAATCCTTTTCACTGTTAGTTAAATTTATTAATCCTTGTAATGCAATCTTAGCTAAGGAATCCGTTATGACCCAAATTAATGTCTTCGGAGGTTAGCACTGCTGCTTAGCCATTTGTACTTTATCGTAAGACGGATATATATCCTTTGAACATTCTCGAATTTTCGTTTTCCCCAAAGTGATGTATTGCCATTTTGATAGCTTTAATGTAACAACTCAAGTGCTTTCTTTGGGGAAAATAATGATCATTGCTTAATTTTTACTGCTGCTTCTGGATTTTTGAACATATATTCAATGACAGATGCTTTATGGCCACGACCATCATCTTTCAAAAGTGCGGCGGCTGAATATAGTAAGTAGTAATTCAGCCTTTATTTCGTCCGATTGCCTCTTCTTCTGTTTGTTACCTAGATCTTAAAACAGCTTTCTAAAAAAATTTTTGAATTTTAAATGCTGGTCACAATCGAATACTGCTGCGTTTCGTCTGGTGAGCGAGGTAGCCTACTTTATTAAAAGGTGGCATCGCATCTGCAACCCTACGGGTATTGCAAATGTCAATGGGCAGGGGTTATCGCTTAGCATCAGGTGAACCGCCAGCTCGTTTGCTACCTTTCTTACATAAAAACACAAGACAACAAAGTAAGTGGTCGCTCTCGCACTATTAGGAACTCTAGCAGTGATAATAGGAGTGAAGGCGCGAACCCAAAGAAATCCTATGCGTAAGCATAAACTATTAGTCCTTCAGATGGGCTTAAACAGGATCACAGTGAAAACGGTGTTGAATGAAGACTTAGGGGTTCGAGCTTATCGAAGAAAAACGGGACATCGTTTGGATGCTCGTTTAATGGGCCTGAGACAGAAGAGATCCTACGTTTCGTTAAAGCGGCACACGGGGGAAAACCGTGCAACTCTTTTTTCGGATGTAATTTTTTTTCCCGTGGAGCTACAATAAACAAAATGATAAGGTGTACAACAGTGAAGAAGCGAGCAGCTGCTTCCCACGTCTCCAGTGAGGCCATTTTCTATCGTCACTCATGGTTTGGTTAGGAGTTTCATATTTAGGCTTAACTGAGGTACACTAAAATTGTGAAAGTCGTAAAAACGAATTCAGTGTATCAAAATACTACATACAAACAAAACATAACAAAATTAAGACATTAAATGCAATTGATTATCGCGCACATCGTAAAAATTTTATTTTAATAATTTTTTCCAAATGCGCCAAAAGAAATATCTTAAGGTTATATGAGTGGGTATAGATACCTTAATCCGAAAGAATAATAGAAAGCGAAAAGTGATAGCAGGATTAGGGAAAGGGATATAGAGGTACCCATTTCCGTTTACCTCGTAAAAGTTTTCTCTAGCTTATGACCCAGAAGAAATTAAAATATTCTGTTAAGCTTTGTATTTATTTCAAAATTAAAACAATGCATAAAAGTAAAAAAGTAGAGACGTTGAAATATATTCTTTAATATTTTTACATACAACAGAGCTAATTATATTGTTATATTTACATCTTTTTCTAATTTTAGCGTATGTATTTAAGTGGCATAAGCAGTACGTGTAGTCAATTTAGAGGTTAATATTAAGAGTGAAGTTAAATAAGCTTTCAGTAGGTACAAAATTGAAATAAAAAACTGCCATACAAATAAAAATATTTTGGAAATTATTGAGAAAATAAAGACAAGACTTTTTTGATAGACAGCTGTTTATCATTTTTCATAACGTTCTATAAAGGCACAGGAAGATATATTATGACGGATGTAATAAAATTATTGGGCAAAATTAATTTCATATTTCTTTTTTTTTTTGACCAGATAAAAAAATCCATAAACTAAATTTACTTAAACTGTAAAAAAATCCTGTGATGTTTGTTTTTATTTCTTTAAAATATAGGCTAATAATCCTCTATGAACTTTTCATAGAATCTCAAATTCGTCATCTGAATCATCGAATTGCCTATCGACGTCTTCAAATTCTGAAAAAAAAAAGAATTATACAAAATTTACCTCATATATATAACAGTAGTCTAGCCACAAAATAGTTTTCACTGTTGCATGAATGGGTAGATCCGTCCGGTAAGTATCACGACCTCACAGAAGACCGGCGTGAAGTGGAATTGTTACACTGCTGCGTTTTGTCCGGTGAATGAGGTAGCCGGGGTTATCCATCCTCCGCTTCCTCATACTTGACCACCCAAATAGTTAAAAATTCACTGCGTACAGCGCCTTAACTTAAGGTTATCGCGCAAAAAACGTCATATAACTTTATTGTTGGCATTTTGAAATTATGAATTTTATTTGAATATTATAGAATTCGAAAATTTTGTCCAAGAACCAAAATTAATAAATTCGAGCAATATCTGACGAGTATGGTGAGTAACAGAGTTTGGAGTTATAGCAATTTTGTCCTTGTGATTTATGACCTTTAGTGATGCGGTTTTTAGAGGAGCGTTACTATGAACTGATTGCAATTGTGTGCTAGCATGTGTCTTTTTTTTATGTGACAAGTTGCCACGCGCGCAGGCGGTTCACCTGATGTTAAGTGAATACCATCATCTGCCACACCCAAGGGTTACAGATGCATTGACAACCTTTTGAAAATTGGGCTCCGGCTACCTCACTCACCAGACGAAACGCGAAAGTATTATACTCCCGCTTTACGCCGGTCTTCTGTGAGGTCATGGTACTTACCCGGACGGGCCTGCCCGTTCGTTCAACAGCCGAGGCTGCTGCGTGGCCCTACCACAGGGAAGTGTTTGAAATAGTCGGGCGACAAACAGGCCACAAATAAATTTATATTAAATAATTGGGCCCAAGTAAATAAAGTCCATCACAAAACTACTTATATCATATATTGGCCCTAATCTAAATCACGTTCAAAGAGCACAGAAAGAACCAGAATCCGCAAACCAGCCTAAAACTGATTAAAAACCGGCCAAGTGCGAGTCCGCGCACGTAGAGCCCCGTACCGTTATTTATAAAAATGGCAAAAAATCATGTATGTTGTATGGTCGCCCATCTTAAATATTTTTATGCTGTTTTTTATATTTGTTGTTATAGCGGCAATAGAAATACATTTAAGTACGGAACCTTAAAAACTACTTCAAAGTTAAGTAGTTTGTCGATCAGCTGTTTAGGCAGTCTGTGAAGTTCGTATCGCGTGACGTGATTTACCTATGTTCATTTAATTTAATTTATGCCGCCTGGTGTCGCTCGTCTCTGTAAAAATGCAGCTGGGCTCAAAAAGAAACATTTCATATATGTATGTATAAGTAGCGCATTGGGATATCGCGTTAGGTATTGAATTTAATGGTAATTTTTTAAGTTGTTTAGTTGTCATAAAAACCGATGCGTCCATGTTATCGATGTTGCCAAAATAAAATTTTGGTATTATTAAATTAAATAACTTGGCAGGTGTCTAAAATAATTTATAACCGATCCGTTTGTATATGGTTGTCAGAATTGCAAAACAGTTAATACATAGTATCTACATGCACAAATTCGGTGTACTAGTGGGGGTGTGTGAAAGGGTTTGTATGCAGCTTTAATAATGGGGGTATTTAATTTGTCAAGTATTCCATTATACGAAAAACATCAAAACAAGATTTTATGATTTATCAAAATTTAAGTCTTTGTCATTAATTATAAATTCGATAAGATATTTTTCAAAAAGCTCTTTTTTACTCAAAAAAAGAATATTAAATGGTACATATCTATACCATATTTTATTTAAAGAACTTTAATATCTTGCGATTATCAGGTACATATATATAAAATAAAATATACCTTTTTAGGAATGGGCAATTTTGATTTTGTTATTTCATTACTTTACCTAAAAATGGGAAATTATGTCTTAACTAGCAATATTACGCGGGTCGGAAGGGGTACGGGCGCTGGACTCTTAATATGTTTTTGGACACAGCGCGCGGCATGCAATTACGACTAAACGAGGCTTCTGGTTTTTTCTATATTCTTTGATCACAATCATGTGAGGTTTATAAAACTTTTTCTATTAGCAAATCCATCTATGTAACACATTTTTTATTATTTCTTATACTAACTATAACATATATAGTAAAGTAAAGTTCGTGGAAAATTCATCACTTAACATAAATAATCAAACCTACCGGCAAATAAAGCAGTTTTGTTAAGATCGATATCAACAGAACATGGACCCCAATGAGATGGTCGCTTCTCACATATTTCAAATAGAGGTTGACTTTCCTGCATTAGATTATTTTCTATAGTAGAACACAATTCTTCAAAATCACTTTTTGTACGACAAAGAAAACACTGAAAATGAAATTATAACTACAGTATAGTTGTAAAACCATTGTAACAATCAAAATCTTATTTACACATATATGAAGCTATGATTAAATTAGGTCTACAAACTGTTCAGTTGAATTTATTTAGATAAGAATTAGAATTACATATTTTAAATGTTTTGACATCAAAACTACTAAATTTTAAATTTATCTATTAGAAAAAAGAACTATATTTATATAGCAATGATAATCATTCGTAACTTAACTTACAACAGCTACTGATGGATCCATTGCAAGTATTGGTATTCGAGAAGCATATTTACAATGATATGAACAGTCCATTTCCTTTTGCTCATCTGTTGATTTGTTCTGTTGAAAAAATATGTTTTAAATGCTGCATTAATGATATAAAAATAGATCTCTTATTAAGATTTCTAAACACTATTTGGAACCCCCTTAAGTAAATAATTATTATGATAAAAATAAATACATTGAATTAAGCATACTTACTTCAACTAATCCTGATCTCTGTGTAGTATGCGGATCCAAATATATAACTTCATCACCAACACAACCAACAAGATATAAAGCTTGATTAGGTTTACCACCAATCACACCAATAGATTGTGAAGATTGAAAACAAATCTATAACAAAACCAATTGGTTAAAACTTTAATCTGGTTAAAATCTTTTGAATATCAGGGTCTTATTATGTAGGACTAGGGCCTTAAATACTTTCCTGCTTTAAAGCAGCTATTTCAAGCATAAATGCACAACTTTTACAGCTGAGAAATATATATATATATATATATATATATATATATATATAATGGAACCTAGCTTTGTTTAAATACTCAAAAACAGAATATTTAAAGCAATAGCATTTAAAATTCTGTTTTAGAATATTACCCAAGAAAAATAATAATAATAATTTAAGATACGCACAATATGAAGGAGGGCCTTTAGTGGGATGATACTTCTTTTAATAAACCAGTTTTTACCTTTAGTCCGTTCATATAAACTGGATTTATTTCACTTAGTCCTAATCTAAGAGGTACTATTAATAAAAGTGGCATCCAATCTGACACAGTTATTCCATCTACCATGTTTGAAGAGTTATTTAGTTCATTTTTTATGATACACTGTTGAACTGAAATAGAGAGAATTATTTAATGATGATCTGATATAGACATTGCAAGTTAAAACTTTTAAAATTTTATTTGTATTAGAAACTTACGTATATCTTCCTTTACTACAGTATTATCTAGAGCCACATGAATCACCAAAGAACTCCATTTATCATAAACAACTAATTTCCTAAAAAATATAAAAAACATTTTTATCACACCCATGTTTATATTTAGAGATGAGTACTACTTGGAATGCAATATTTATGGATGAGTACTATAGGAGATAATCAGCCAAAAGCCAAGACATGAAATTTAGATTTATGACTAAAGTGAATTTATTTATTGATGTTTAATGATCATAATGTTTATTAATTTATTTAATGACTTACAGTATTACATATCAAGTAAGATCATAAACAGTTCAATAAATGGCATTTAGCAAATGTTTATATCTTCTATTTTACAAATTAAAGATGGTACTACATACACCAAACTACTACTGGTAAAGTTAATATTTTATTATCAGATATACTTGTAAATTACAGTGTGACCACAGATTAGGTTTTTGGCAAAAATTGGCAAGACTTCGCTGTTTGTGAATAGTCAAGAGTCATGCGGCATGCAAGGAATAGTTAGCACATGCTCACTTTGGCGCAACTTAGTAATTAATCAATCTCTACTCTCAGAACCCCATATCATAGATAAAAAGGCAGATAGACATTTGGTTGTCACTTGTAATGAAAAAAATTATATCATTGAATGTAAAGTTATGACTTGAGATATAAATTATACATGGCACTAACCTAACCTTCATAAATTTCTGAACAATTGTTGGATGATATTACATAACATAATATATGTTTAAATTAAAAAGAAAGATCATAGATTTCAGTGTAAAATAAAAATTTTGGAGTAAATTTATGAAGTATAAACATACACATGAATTAGGTGATGAAAATATGACAAGAGACATTTACTTTATGATACTTATTAAAATTGAAGAACTTTGATAAAAATCCTCCTTACTTTAAAACTTGTGCTATAGTATTTGGTCCAAACCATTGTCCTACTTCCTTGCCTTCAGAAGCTCCCATTAATGCAACTTGATGAATGGAGTATGGTGCCTGTTTTCTCTCTTCAAATCTTTGAATTATTTTCAGATATGTAGGGTCCCTGTCAAAATAAATTGTTTCAATAAAAAGCAGTAATTCTAGTAGACCAGAAAGTAACGTGAAATTGTTTTTTCCTTCAAAATACAGATTTATTTTTATGCTTAAGAAATTTACACTTTACCTAGTTTCTGGACTCCAAACCCAGTCTGTAGACAAGTGGATTCTGGTAAGTGCTACACCCAACACCATCTGCCCACAACGCAACATGCATCCCCAGCCTTTATCAGAGGTTAAACCTTCATCTCCAATAGGAACAAAGCCTTTTCTGTATGTACACCAAATAATAGAGCTTACGTCTCGTCTAATTCGATCCAAGTCTGAAAACAAAACAATATTCAAATAATGATTCTAGGTCCTGATTAAAAATATAAAAATGTTAAGTGTGCTATAGTAGTACCTTGAATTGCGCTGTACTTCTTTCCCAAAATCCAAACATTCTCCTTTGTCTTAGGAATATCATCAGGTTCAATGGTCGTATTGTCAGATGATAGGTAACACATATCAAACATGGCATCCATAATTTAACATATTTTTATTACCGTTAACATTAAAATCCTGCTTATGTTAGCTATAACTGAAATGATTTACAACGAATTAACGTTATAGTAAAATATATAACAAATCACGGTGCATATAATATTGGACACTGTTGTGTTTTGTAAACATGTCATCATGCGATCCGTCCGTCAGCGTCATGGAATGAAATTGAAAGTCTTTAGCGTAACAGCTGAGAAGTATAACCGTTTCATGAAAAACCATCAAATATTTTTTTTTATTATTATTTATTTGAATATATCAATAAAGATTTTAATGGTCAAATAGACTCCCTTGAGTGGATCCTAGTAACGAGTGAATATTCATTACTAGGATCCACTCAAGGGAGTCTATTTGAACGCTTTAAACTGCCAGAGAACATGAAACAGTTGTTGCTGCAAAAAAATTAAAGCGCAGCCTCCAAAAAGCGCATGCAGGAACTAAGGGGAAAGAAATGGGATACTCTGTTGGAGGACATTTCACCATCGCACACAGCTTTCTGGTAGTTGGCGAGATATCTAAAATTGAAGAGTCTCCTAGATGAGTCCTCTAACTCTGGCTGAAAATAGAAAAAAGCGTAAGGTTAACCTCGCCGCCAGCCTGGAGCTACAATCCTCACGTAGCACGCGACTACTAACTTGAGAGCGGGTATTCGCCAAGGATCGGTACTTTTTCGACCTTCTATTATCATATACCAGGATGGGTCCTGTATGCTGGGGGAGATGGCGCTGTATGCTGAAGATTTAATCTCATACGCGATTGATTCTGACAAACCCTTGATTTTGAATTATCCGCCTACAATCTGCACTAAAATCCCTTTGCGAATGGTTGTCAAAAACAAGGTGACTATGTTCAACTGTCTTTCGAACCTTCGTCGCGCAACCAGCCTCCTCGTAGTATATAATGAAATAAACGAGGTATATACCGACTACGGAACGCTGAATAGCGTCGTGAACACATAACATTCCGATAGCTTTTGTCAATGGACGAATAAATAGTCCGCTATAAGCTATTGGAGACTTTTTTACACCCCCATAGACTGTGCATTCGAGAGGGCGCCGTTCAGACGACGAATTACATGCTGGATCCCTGGTTCGCAGCGTACACACGATATGTGCCAGTAATTTTTGTCACTAGCCGCCTTTAAATCAATATGTCCTATTTTTACTGTTATTTAATAGTACTTATTTAACGATCGTTCGCCCGTTAAGTAATTAATTACTTTTAGCTTTCAGATATTAGCTGCTTTCATAAATTGATTTTTATGGTAAATCTTCTGTTACGTAAATAATTGAACTGTTGTAAAGTTATTGTTATAGTATTATAATTTTCATAAGCGATTGATCGACGTAGTTATCTTGTGCTTAAATCTCAAACTCAACGCTTTTACTTCTCCGGATAGATTCCACTATCGATTGCGGTCCGATTTGACGTGTAAACCTCGATTCGGAACTCGTTAGGCGTATAATCTAAGAGGAATCATCCATCTTTTGTTAACAGTGGTTACGAAAATGCATTCGTATCATGTCGTCCTCATGTAACAGCTACGTTGTTCTCCGGATTCCGCAAGTCGTCTGCCTTCTAACAAAGCCCACGATAATGAACTAAACTCCAAAAAAATGTTTTACCTAACAATAAAAACTTTTGATTAATTTGTAATTTTTTCCAATTTCAATCACTAATCAAGATTATCTAATTGATATGGCTTAAAGGTCTTGTGACTAGGCCAAAAAATCTAAATCTATCTATCTAATCTTTATTGAAAAAATCTAATTGACAGTTGACTTTATTACTTGTCAAATTTGACAATTAGCTGTAACTGTTTACAATTTACATTTAATATATAACAATTATTATTTGTTGTTGCTATGTACTGTAACTAAAATAGAATAAAATAGGTGCTCATTTATTTATTTTTCGGTTTATGTAATACATGCGGCGCATGTAGCATACATTTAAGTTATAAATTAACAAAGCTGTGTAATTAAAATTTTGTGTTGTGAACCGTACTGACATGGAAGCTAGTGCATTAGATTTCGTGGCTCAAGCATGCATGGATTTATCCGATGCCATGTCTTCTGCTGCATCTGAGGCGGATAGAGATAGTCTGATAACTAACCATATAAAAAAAGTTTGGTCAGTAGTTACATCCATTGATGACTTTAAAAAAGGTTTGTAAATATCTGTTGAAACATAGTGAAGTTATTAAGGTCTTGTACACCATATGATTTAAACAAATTACAGAGTTGGAATGGGTAAATGTATCAGAGGCAATTTCTCTCTCTCAACATTGCAATGATAAAGTAGTAGTGCTAGATTTCTGGACTTACTGCTGTATTAACTGTTACCATGTATTGCCAGAGTTGGCACACTTGGAGAACATACACAAAGTTGAAAATGGACTTGTTGTGGTAAGAATCTTGTAATTACTCATTATATGAACTGAGATTAATAAAAGCTTAATAAACTAGTAGTACTGAGACTTATATATATTCTATCTAGCTTTGCTGTTAATTTATTAAAACATTTATTTGTAATAAATTTTATCCACTACAGTGTTGCCTTTTCATAACATTGATTATAAGTGATAAGAAGTTGTGATGTGATTGTGGGTGAAGACTACTAATTTAGCAGAAATCAGTGTGGGATATTTTAATTCAATTTTAGATTACATTATACACAATGACCTTTTTTTTTTGACTGAATATTATTTGCAGATTGGTGTTCATTGTGCAAAATTTAACAATGAAAAGGATACAGCAAACATTCTAGCCGCAGTACAAAGGTATAACATTCACCACCCAGTTGTAAATGATGCTGACAGTACATTTTGGGAAGCTCTTGGAATTCGCTGTTGGCCAACCTTACTAATATTAGGTAAAGTAAACAGTGATAATTTTTTCCAAAGAATTTTTTTTTTAAATATAATTATTACAAGCACATATTTAAAATATAAGAACTATTAGTATAAAATATTATATTGCTATATATATAAATAATTAAAAGATTTACATATTGAAGATCAATATGTAAATCTTTTAATTATTTAGTTTACATTATTTTGAACATTGTATTTTTACTTTAATAGATTTTTTAGATATAGATTTTTTATAGTATACTCATAGTAGATATACTGTGCAGGTCCTGGAAACAAACCAATTTTTGTATTAACTGGTGAAGGCCACAAAGAAGAATTAGTCTGGTTTGTAGGGGCGTTGATACGCCATTTTAGCTCACGAATCTCTACTGCTTCTTTACCCATGTCACTATCTAATTATATTAAACCAAAGGATACTGGAGTTTTATACTTTCCAAGTAAGGTATGTTGTTTTGTTATTACTGTTATTAAAGCACTTTTCTGAGTTATGGGTACTATTTATGCCAGTCTCCATGAAAATATTGCCAATATGTCATTTAATGGTGTCTTCTTGCATTATCCTCATATGGACTAAAATGTTTACACAAAGATAAGATAAATTATCTCCAAATTTTGTCTTTACTAATAACTTCCAGTAATTTTATTAGGCACAATATTTGCATAGCATAAATTGGTGTTGTATTTTAAATTGTCAATTTTTTGCTATTCAGATAACGAGTTCGTAAAAACAGATCATGACTATGTAAGACACTATTTTCTAAACATAAGCACCTACAATTGGCCAACTGATTTCAATTTTGCCGCCAGGTGGCGTTGAATCCGTTCTACCGGGGTAGGTCGGAGGAGCCCTTCCTGGCGATATCGGACACAGGTCACCATCGTGTTCTTCTAACGGACTGTTCAGGGGTCATACTGCGCATCATTGGCGGCCCGGAGCCAGGCTGCGAGGATGGCAGTTAGTATGTCGAAACTTAGTTTAACATATTCACTACAACACGAACACATTGCGTCTGAAGTTCATCCGAGCTACTCTTGGGGCGAGGGGGGGGGGGGGGGTTTCAATGTCTCCCTCTCGTTCGCGCTGCAATGTAAATCTCTTCCTATCTCGCTCTATAGGAGCTGTAAAAGCGCTGTCGACCATTGAGCAATAGGCTCTCTTCTTAAAGGTTATTATAAGGCTTTATTATAATAAGGCTATATATATTATTATAAGGCTTTCGCAACTTGTCAGAAAAATCCTTCAAAAATGTGGCAACTCATAAATAGATTAGCAAGTAACAAAACTCAAATGACAGACAGGGCGATTAAAATCAACACCACGCGTGGCGAAATCTCGGATGTCAGGGAAATTTGCGAACATTTTAACATCTTTTTCGCTACAATAGGCACCGAACTTGCAAATAAGATACCAAGAAAATATCATAACAACCTAACACAAACAATAACCTACAAAGAAACTAAAAATAGCACTATTCTATCGCAGATAAAATTAACCAACGAAAACGAGGTACTTAAAATGATACAAAATTTAGATACAAATGTAAGCTCAGGTCTAGATAGCATAAATATTAAATGTCTCAAATGTATTGCAAATTAGGACCTAGCCGAGTGCATCAACAAATGTCTAAATGAAAGTTGTTTTCCTGATCCACTTAAATTAGCGAAAGTAAGCCCTATTTATAAATCAGGCTCTAAATCGGATCCTAGTAACTATAGGCCTATATCGGTATTACCAGTAATGTCCAAGGTGTTTGAAAAAATACTGCATAACAGGCTATACGAATTCTTGATTTCAACGGAATTCTTATTTAAAAAACAAGACGGTTTCCGTCCTAAGTCTAATACACTTTCCGCAACCATAGATCTGGTAACCAATATAAGAACAAACGTAGACCAAAAGAAAATTGCTTTATTTATTTATCGATCTAAAAAGGCCTTTGACACCGTAAGTCACGACATACTTTTACTGAAATTGACAGATCTGGGTGTCACAGGTAAAGCTTATGAGCTATTTAAGTCATATCTAATGAATAGACGACAAGTGGTTAAAATTAATAATACCCAAAGTAAACCTCAACTGATCACATGTGGAATTCCACAAGGATCAGTTCTGGGGCCATTGCTGTTCCTTGTATATGTAAATAATATTGTTACGCTTTAGGGGTTCGAAGGATTTGGAGAGAAAGACCTGCTGACTCTTTTGAAGACTTTATTTACGCGCACTAGGTCCAACACAAAGCACTAGGTCCAAACACTAAGCACTAACGTTGTCCTATTTTGTAGCCAAGTCGTAGGTTTCACTGGTATCGCTCTTGATCACTAGTTTCCCTCCGAAGTCGCCTCGAAGGTAGCTCCAACTGAACTGTCATCGCTCGCCTCCCTGCGGCTTTTTATATGGGCCGAGACCGGTTCCGGACTAATCCAGAAAGATCATTCCTGGAACGTACCCGACACGCACGAACATGTTCGTGATTCCGGAAAGTTCGTGAATGTACCCGGTTTTCGAGACTATAGTTCCACAGCAGTTCCTCTAACGCCATCTAGTGTTGAATAGGGGGTTTTATGTCGTCTTTTTTCTTTAGTGGTTTTAATAGTTGACGCTAGATGGCGTTAGTTCCTTTGTGTGTTCATAACAATATTCATGAAATTGGTTTAACGGGTGACATAACTCTATATGCAGACGACACTAGCTTGTTTTACTTTGGCTACTCTTTAAAAACAATAATAGGCCAAGCGCAATATGACCTAGATAAACTACATACTTGGATGCAGTCAAACTTACTCACCGTTAATGCGTCAAAAACTAAATACGTTATCTTCTCTGCAAAAAATAAAAAAATTGAAAGTCATAACCCTCTTCTAATAAACGGTGAAATAATTGCAAAAGTAAAAACTGAAAAGTATCTAGGTCTAATTTTGGATAGCCAGCTCACCTGGAAGCCGCATATTGAAAACTTATACAATAAAATTTACTCACTGATAGGGGCAATAAATGGCATATCAAAATGTCTCCCGAGATATACAAAATATGTCATTTATAATTCCTTGATCAAGCCACACCTTGACTATCTTATTGAAGCATGGGGATCAGCGGCAAAATCAAACTTAAAAAAATTACAAATAACCCAAAATAAAATCATAAAATCATTATTTCATTATGACTTTTATACACCTACTGAAAAAATATATAAAGAAACTAAAATAATGAATCTGGCTCAAATGTATAAATATAACACGTGTATTCTTATTCGGAAAATCATTACTAAAGATCCACTCACAGATTAACTTTACAAAAAACATGGATTACACTAAACGAATAACACGACAAGCAAATAACTTGTACTTACGAGCGTCTCGAACAAATTACGGAAAAAAGGGCATATATGAGGGCGCTAAATACTATAACAAATTACCTAGTGATATAAAAAACACAAAATCTCTAGTCAGTTTTAAAAAAATCTTGAAAAGTTATATTTTAACGGATTTTTCATTGATAAGGTCATAAACACTTGGATACATAAATACACATATGTATGCATATATTTGCATTCATATGCTCATGAGTCCATTTTAATATATTTCATATACATAATTAATAGTCAATAATCTTAAAGCCACTATGTTATAGATCTAAGTAAACACCTTTTGTATTCCGAATATAGGTAATTACGATTATAGAATGTACCACACACTTTGTAAAAATTCTTATGTATTTCTTTTGCAACTACCTTATATTTCATCACTTTTTATTATAATTAGTCCAGTAGCTTCGCCCGTTCGGAAATTTTTTGTTGTACATAATATACACTCGGCGTCAAAAAAATCGCACATCCGAAAAAAAATATTTTAATACCATTTTAACACAACAGGCCAATGGCAATGTTGTGGTTTGAGGGTATCATTCGAAAGGTAATTTCATTAGCTTTCAGGAATTTCAATTGAATTTTACTTTTATAACGAGACGAAAGAGAAATTAAAGAAAAAGACAGGGTATGTACAAATTTGAAAATTAATAATTAAAAAAAAAACTTAATAAATACAAAAAAAGTTCTTAAAACCTAGTGTTACCCCCCTTGCCTTGATAACGGCTTCCATGCGATCTTTCATGGACCTTACAAGGGTCGCAACAGCCTCTTGGGGTATTTGTTCCCACTCTTCAAGTACCGCATCTTGGAGCTCTCGAAGAGTGGTTGGAGCTGGATCTCGAGCTCGCACGCGCCGTTTTAGGTCATCCCAGAGATGTTCTATTGGGTTAAGGTCTGGACTTCGTGCTGGCCAATGCATAACAGGGATATCGACCTCCTGTAAATAATCCCGTACAATAGCCGCGGTGTGGCAACGAGCATTATCATGCATTAACATGAATCCATCACCGACATAACCAGCATACGGGACCACATGTTCCTCCAGGATTTCAGTAATGTACCGACCAGCATTTAATGACCCTTGCCCACGGCCACCCCGAGTCCGGGAAAGGCACACAAGTTCCGTTTTCCCGTCGACGGAAATGCCGCCCCAAAACATACACGAGCCACCCCCATATTCGACGGATTCTTCGAAGCAGGGTTGTGTGAACCTCTCCCCCTGATTTCTGTAGACCCTTCTACGTCTGTCATTGCAGAAGAGACAGACCCTCGTCTCATCAGAGAAGATTAAGGTCCGCCACTGTTCTAGAGTCCACTCGCAATGATTGCGAGCAAATTCTAGGCGATCTCTGCGATGCTGTGCAGTAAGTTTTGGACCTTTAGCAGGTCTATGGGCTGTTAAACTCTTTTCGTGTAACCTTATTCTTATCGTAGAAACACTCACAGATGTTCTCCGAGTTGATCGAAGCTGTTGTTGCAACTCAACAGCATTTGTAAAACGGTTTCGTAAAGATGTCGTAACGATGAAACGGTCATCTCTTTCTGATGTGCACCGTTTTCTTCCAGATGCCCGGTTTTCTAACATAACCACCAGTCTTCTGAAAACGTTGGAACACCCGTCGAACTGAAAAACGGGACAGGTTCAACTGTCGAGCAAAGTCACACTGCCGCATCCCCGACTGCAATAGGGCAATCACTTGAGCGGCTTCTTCAGAACTGGAGTCCATTTTTACTTGTTCTTACTTGGGTTACTTGTTCACGTGTGTTCACTGCAAAGTCTAAATTACGACTGACCCATATTTCTTTTTTTTTTTTTGCTGGATGAGCCACTGTTGGCCTTAGGGGCCTTTACAGATCCGACGGACTTGAGGGGGCCGGGCGCTCGAGGCGCCTAGCCTGAACCTCGCGTATTATTGTTACGCGTTATGGTGACTAAGGTCGAGGGCTCCCGAGGGAACCTCGGCTCGGGCCGTCACGCTATTAGTTTCACCGGTTTGGGAGGCCGCCAAGCTCTTAGGGCGCTTTGGCGGACGCTCCATGGAGTGATCAGGCTCAAGGGTCCCCGAGAGGGGACCTCGGCTTGGGCTGTCACTCAGCACGCGTTTAGCATTCCGATTCGAGGGTGCCCGAGAGGGCCGGACCTCGGCTCGATCGGTAGCTGTTGACTGACTGGGGGGATCTCTAGAGCTATCGTTACTACCACTTCGTTGCCCATATTTCATCTAGATCGACCCTTTTATACCCTTTTTAGGTGGTGTAACTAGCGTCCTTAATAACGAGCATTTGACAGTGTTTATTTTTGACGCTCTATAATGATAAATGTTTTAACGATTTCATGATTTTTTTATTAATAATGTAAAGCTATTCAAATACCCATTTCAAACATACCAATATTTATATAAATATAATTCGTTTCTAGCCATTACAGCCATTTTTCGCGCAAACTCAGAGAGGTGCGATTTTTGTGACGCTGAGTGTAGTATTTGTATTTTCTCTGTAAGTGATTTGGTGTAAATCTTTTGAGAAAATAAATCTCTTAAACCTTAAACCTTAAGGTCACTTAGTTGCATCTATCTGGAAATAAAGTCGG